CTTCTTCCAGGTGGGCACGAAACGGCAGCGTAGAAGACGTGCTGGATCTATGCCCTTTCGGCAGAGGACCCTTACGGCCTTGGTGCTGAGGACGGATGTGGACTCCTTCTTCTGGGCCTCAAGTAGCATCTTCTTCTCCTCTGGCGTTGACTTCTTGAGAGGAGCTCCCACTCGACCCTTGCGAGCCTGCGAGCTCGGGCCCTCGAAGTAGTTCATGAAGGCGTGCTCGTGGTTGACTGGAATCTCCAACGCGATCAGCTCGCCCTCCTCCTTGGTCTCGTCGTGCTGCTGGGTGCTGTCGGCGTAGTCGCTGTAGAAGCTACCCTCCTGCAAATAGTATGAGAAGTCATCCTGAACTGCGGCGCTGATTCTGGACTTGTTGACGGGGGGCTCTGTCACCTCGTCGGTGCCCGCAGTCTGCTTCTGAGGTAGTCCTGGTCGAGCTTCCTTTGATTCAGGGTCTACCGCCAGTTCTCCAGCTTCTGAGCCTCCAGGGACGGGCTTCTATGAGGCCTTATCCTCCATGTCATCGTCCTTCGGGTCGATCTGTGGACCTTCCTCGTCGGCTTCGGCTGGAACTTCAGCTTCCTCGGCAGGTGGTCCTTCAGTAGGTGCCTCGAGTCCAAGTGGTGGCTCTTGTGGTGCGTATTGTATGAGTGGCTCCTGTGGCTCCTCCAGCGTCCACGGATTTGTCTTCCGTCGCAACCGTCTCGTAGGTAATGGTGGTGATGGTGCTGGTCGTGGCGCTGACGATGATGTGGCTCCTCCTCCGCCTCCAGGTGCGTAGACCCGAGGTGCTCCTTGAGATGGTAGAGGCCTGTCGTCATCTTCATCAACGGCCCCATGTCCACTTGGGTTGTGCTCGAACGTCCGAGCGCTTGTAGACTCCCGTCGTCGTAGGCGTGGTCGTCACTAGTGGGTGGCTGCTCGTTGGTGAGGTCGATCACCTCGTTGGTGTCGAGTTGCTTCTGTACCTCCCCGAACGTCCAGGTGCCTGGCTGTTCGCTCCGAGATCGGAGCGCGTCCGTAGCTTCTTCAGAAGGTGTGGCTGATCGTAGCTGTTCGGGTGCAACTCGGTAAAGCCGCCCTGCCAGGGCAATGCTCACGACTACGCCAGGTAGACCAGGTCGGTGTCCAGAGCTAGCGGGTTCGTGACAAAGTGCTCGTCCAGGTCCGTACCATCGTCCTCGTCTGGGCATTGATCGTGGTTGCCCCTTCTTCCTCCAGGCTCCAGGTGGGGGCCTACGGTAGACGAAGACTAAGTCCCCGCACTTGTACTTCTTGAAAGACCTGAACTTTGCCGCCTCTGCCCTCTTGACTCTATCAGAGTTCTCGGTCTGGATGTGGGCCAGTCGGGGTAGTCGACGTATCTGAGCATCTCTGGCGAACGTGCTGTCCTGTAGCTCTGGGCTAATTGTCCGGCTCGTCGTCGGGGTTGACAGTCGTCCCCGTAGGCGTCCTTCCGGCATGGCGCTGAAGTGGGCTGAAGCCGTCGATCCTCGTGAGATCGTTGCGGGCTGCCGTCTGGAGGCCGAACATCTCGCTGGTAGGCGCGTCGGGAGAGATCATCTCGTCGAAGGCGTCGAGAGCTTCCTTAATGGCTTCGATGGCGCGCTCGATCTTCCAGATCTGCCAGTGTGCGTCAGCAGCACACGGGAGGCAGTAGATGCCTTGGTTCTCGACCCACTCCCTGAACTCGTCGGAGACTGCGCTGCCAGCTGGGTCGTTGCGCATGACCTTCGGGCGTCCCGGCCATGGGAACCACTTGGTGGCGAAAGTATGTCGTGGGTCTCCAGCTCGTACTTGACGTAGTTGTTCTGGTATCTTCTTCTCGTCGATCGAACGCGCGTAGAGGATGTCGGAGCCCGCGTCCAGCACCGCGAGCGCCAGAGTGTTGGCGTTCGTGTTGCGACGAATCCAAGATAAAGCGTCAAATAGAACTTCGTGACCATTCTACGGTAACTCTGCTGATGATGCTGGCGGCCGCTTCGTAGGAGGTCGGCGTGCGTCGCAGATGTCGCACTTAAAGTTGCGAGCGGCCCGTTGGACTTCAGGTCGGGCACCTCGGTCTCGGAGATAGCGAAAAAGAGTGGCACGTGGAAGATGTCCCAGATTGGTGTGAACCAATCTTACGTAGCTCTCCAGCTGCTTGATCGCCTCCTTCGTTCAGCCGAGGGAGTCCTTCCCGTCCTTGGGTGGTCGCAGCTCCTCTGCCGACTCCGGGGTCGGCTCCGCGGGGGGCTGCTGGGCAGCTGCCAAAAAGTGGCAGTTCCCGATCACCTCTTCGAAGTAGCTTAAGTTGGCGTTGCGTGTGCCCTCAGGGTTCTTCGGCAGAGCATCTTCGGACATCTTCCCAAGGCTTCGGTTCGGTCGCTTCCTTCAACCTCCTCATGATTGTGTCCTCCGCGACACTGAAGTGACTGAAGGGCTGTCCAGATGTGCTTGTTGTTGGCGAAGAACTTCCAGCGATTCTTCATGGGCTCTCCAGTGTCAGGGGCTCGTAGTCCACAGGCGCATCCGTCCACGATGACCTCGTAGGGCAGCAGCATGTGTAGATCCCTCCAGCAGGTCTTCTGCCGCGAGCGACTGTTATGCGGCTGATCGGCGATGACCGAGCCCTTGAGGTTGCTGACCTGGTGCCCGATGAGACGCATGCTGTTCTCGAAGATCCGCTGGCTCTTCAGCCGCTTCTTCCGCATATTCTCCTCCTGCTGGTCGGTGCGCTGGTTGACATTCTGGATGATCGACCATGGCTCACAGGGTGGAGTGCTGGCAAGTAGATCCGGCCTGTTCTCGTCGAGCATATACTTGGCCTTGTGGTAGCCCTGCGGCTGGCGGAGGTCGAAGTCGCCACGTGGTCCGAGACGCGCGAACTCCAGACCTTCCTGCTCGCAGATCTGGCCGAGGTTGGAGTCCTCTGGCGCGCAGGCTTCGACCATGGCCAGGCGGCCGAAGGTGGGGGGGGGCGCCCATGGCTCCGAACAGGGCGGTCTTGAAACTGTGCGTCGCAGACCTGATGGCAAGACGCTGGCGCCCCTTGAGGGGTCGGCTATCGTCTCGGCTCCAACGGACCCGCTCCTCATGAACTTCGTCCACTCTTTCTGCGTGATCTCCTCTGCGCACACCTGGCAGCACCAGCCGTGGGGGTTGACCTTCATGATCGGCTCGTTCTTGGCGATCCCGCGCTGGGCACGGCACCCCAGAGCCATGCGGGCCTGTGCGAAGTGGCTCTTGACCGTGCCGCCCAGGATATAAAACGTGATCTGCTGTCTTTTGATCTGCGCCCCCTGCTCCTGCTTGACCTGGACCGTCGGCTTGGCGTCGCCCAGCTGCTGAGTGATGTAGGCTACCAGCCGGTCGCAGATATCCTCCTTCTTGCCGCTGTGCGTCAGCGCGTAGAGCTTGCAGAGCGGCTTGAGGTGGTCCACGATCGCCATCATGTTGAACAGCCTGTAGATCTCCTCCGTGTCGATGCCCGCAGAGGCATTCACGTCCTGGTACTTCGTCGAGACAGCGGACCTTGCGATCTCGATGCTGTCGCGAAGCTCCTCGTTCTGCTGGGAGACGGCCGCCGTCTATTTCTTGATCTCCTTGGGGGCTGGAATCTTTTCCTGGCGGGCGCTGGGCTTCTCGTCTGTCTTCCAGGTCGGGAACTTCGTCGGGAAGAGCGGCGCAGGAAATCCCATTCCGTCAAGCTTCCAGTTATGCTCCTCGATGGTCTTCAGGAAGCCATTGCAGGTTACCTTGCCCCATCGCGTCGTGCAGGTCCAGGCTAGATGAAGCTCCATCGCCCACATCTCCCACTGCGGCAAGTGCTCGTCCAGGAACAGCTCCGAGTCCCCCGTCGCATTGTCCTCGGTCTCGAACATCAGGTAGCTCTTCCGGCCCAACCCAGCACGGCGAACAAGCTTCCCTGGGAGCCGTGCGGTAGGCAGTCGCGGGCGCCCCTGGGTCGCTGAGGACGTCCGCTGCGAACTGCTGCCCACTGGCTTCCACTCGTTCATCTGGTCGTCCTTGACCCTGACCTCCTGGGCGTCGGCTTCGCGGAATTTCGCCTCGCGATTGAGGCTCATGCGGGTGTGGAAGTTGATGAGAATCGCTGAGCTCTGGGCTCGAAGATTCGGCTCTTGCCAACATGGCGATGGAAGGAGGAGCGTCTGGGTCTCTAGGGAGTCCAGGACATCTTGGGATCTTTGGGAGCTCGCGAGGAGGTGTCTCGGCCTTTTTTTGGATCCGAAGTGGGTGTTAACGTAAGCGAAGTTCTGTTGGGTTCCGTAATCGTGTTCCCGGGAGTAGCCGCAATCGGTCTCGGAGATGCCGTTTCTGACGTACTAGAGGCCCCTGTGCCTGAAATTCCAAGAGTCGCCATGCGTGATCTTCCGAAACCAGTTGTTGGTCTTGATGATCCCGTTAATGATGGTGGTGTAGACCTCTCAGCCGCACCCGAAGTAGCGGTCTGAGTGGGCTCGTCTTGGGAGCCGCTGGGGGATCATCTTGGGCTTCCCGGGCCTTTGGGCTCATGTGTAGGGGATCTCGTGTGGCTCCACGTTCTGGCGACTGCTCTTTGTCTGTTTTACCCTCCAGCACCGGCGCAGCAATCGGCGTTGAGGGCGCGACCTCCTATTCGAGGGTCGCCACGAAGCCGAAGTCAGCTTCGGCCACTAAAAGCAATGCTGAATTTCCGCTCGGAAGGGAGAGCAGCTGAGCTCGGCGGCCGAGCTTCTTGACGTAGATCTCGTTCTTCTCGCAGTCGATCGCGGCCCAGGGCCGTCGTGGCGCGACAACTGCGATCAGCGACGGGCAACGGGGCGTCGGCGTCCAGGATGTCAATCTCCAGGTCACCGTCCGCGCCGGCAGTGTTCAGCGGGAGCGTGGCCTTGCCAGTGCAGGTATTGGAGTTGCCGTCGCCGAGGATGAGCGTCGGCTGCTGGGAGGTGTCCATCTTGATGTTCTTTCCCGTCGCGTCGTAGATCAGGTCCCGATGATGGAGGATGTAGCGCCGATGTCCAGGAAGCCGAAGCCCCTGCGGGCAAGCTCCAGCACGCGCACCAGCATCCAGTCGTTCGTCTCTTCCAGCGCGGCCAGGATCGGGAGCTTCTCGTCGTGGCGCTTCGGGACCTCTGGCTTGCTCAGCGCGTCCTCTAGCTCGCGCAGCGACTTGTCGTGCTTGATCATCGTCGCCTCCATCTCGGCGTCGCGCTGGACGTCGTATAACGCGAACGCAGAGAAGCCCCTCTTCGGTCCACGATCGCGATCGGCAGACTGGCTCCTCGGCATGTGATCCTTCGTCTCGTGATTACCGCCGCACTTCAGACAGGGTCCTCTGCGACGTGTCTTCGCCTTCGGGTCTCTGGATGATGTTCTCCTGCCCTTGTCGAGCGACTTGTTGTTTGGCCTCTGGCTTCTCGTGGATTGCCGTCCCCTTGAAGGCTTGTCGCGGCGACCTTTCTTTATTATCTCATCCACGGGGTAGAACTTCCGGGCTGTCTTCACACGTCGAAGGAGATCTTGAGCTTCTTCAGAACTGCGCTCCCGAGCGGCGAAGGCCTGCTCTGCTTGCTCGATCTCCTCAGCGCTGTAAAGCGGCTCCTCCGGGCTGTCGTCGTCCTCGTTCTCGGTGCCGACCGACGTCTCGGACTGTTCGTAGTAAATGTGCCCTTCAGCGTAGGGTTCTTCTTCGTCTTGGTCCCATCCGTCGTGAACGCGGCGGCGGTCTCGATGACGGCATTGATGCTCCTTCCCCTTTCTGTCGCGGTTCGTCAGCTCGTCATCTGGCCACGATGCTCGCAGCTGCTCGCCGATACTCTCATAGTGAAACGTCCCCTTGGCTGCGCTGATGACCGCTGCGCGCTCCGTCGGCGTTAGCCGCGAGCGCTGCACAAGTAGCCAGCACCGTAGTCGATCCAGCGGGATAGCCTGCTGGAAGTTCGTGCCAAAGTCCGGATGTTCTGGTATCTCCTCGAGGCCAGGCTGAGTGAAGTTCCTCGGCCAATCGTTGAGTCTCTTGGCCTCGTCTGCGGCATCGTCCAGGCCCTCGTATGCTATCTTGTTGAGGAACCAGGTCACCTCTTGATAGAGAGAGTTCCACTCCTTGGCCCGGGCCGACAGCCGCTCCATCCTTTGGCGCTTGAAACACTCAGTGTCGAAACTCTTGATCACATCGTGATACGCTTCGTCGTCCCTGCTGATGTAGCTCGGCATTGGC